TAATTTCCTCATAAACACCCAACAATACCGCAATGCACGCCAACTCCTCCTCTCTGCTCAACTCCGACATCCAACGGAAGCGAGCCCTCAAAGGGTGACGCATGGGAGCTTCAAAGACTGCAATGACGTTGTTGGCATCGTCGACGAGCTCAACATAGCGGAAGATCCTCCTCCGGTGCGTCCGAAGCTTGTGTTTTCTGGTGTCGGCGAGTATCGGAGTCTTCCAGGTGAAGGTCTTCGAAGTAGAAGGGGTGTCGTTGCTGGGGGTATTGTTGGCGAACATGGGGACAGTGAAAGAGTAGGCGGAAGGTCTCCAGACGGAGTCCGCCTTCACATCTACCCAAACTCCGTGCGATGCGTCCCAAGGATCGCCGATGCAGATGCGAAAGTCGGTCTCGAATGGGTCAAAGTTGAACTTGACTGCTGCGACGACGGAACTACTCTTGTCGGGAGAGGCATGGATGCTCAGATTGATACCTTTGTACCTCCAGTATGGGAAGCGCACAGCATTGGTGGGTCTGGATCCTGTGCTCAGCATCCAGCCCCAGCGGGAGAATCCGCGTTGTCTTAGCTCTTGGGTCTTGACAATGGAAGCATCGAGGACTCCGTTGTGGGCTTTCGGGGAGCTGCGGTCGTTGACTCGCGTGGTCGGTGCTCGATAGATGCTGTCAGACTTCTCAAGCGTGCTGGGATTGGGGGTTTCGCTGAGTGTAGGCGCTATGGAAGATGGTGCCCTCGAAACGTCCGGGACCATCGTGGTATCAGGGATGATCATAGGGACAGTAACGGAAGCATCCATCGTGTGTAGAGAAGAGACTAACGAAACGAAGAAGAAAAATATAAGTTGGGCTGCGCTGAACAGGCGGTCAGGTATGGAGTGGTGCGAGTGAGAATGGGTAAACACGAAGCCGAAGTCTGAGTTGGGATAACAGGGCGGGCTGTGTCAGCAAAGCTTCAAGGAAGGAACAGTGTCCGCAGGCTTGGAAACGTCATGCGTCGCTGTGGAGGCAAGATCAGTCCACGAAATGCATGAGTGTTGTTGGGACAGGTCTTGCAAACGTAGTGAAGAGTGTTCGATCGCTCATGCTGCTTCCGGCCGGACTCCCACACTCCCTTTGCATTGAGATCATGGGAGTCGTGCCATCGGCCTCTCCCGCCACAGGATTCGCCTGAGCAATGAATGAGTACAGCACTCAGCTTTGGGAACATTAGCTATCTAACTGTCGTTGTTGCTGCACATACATACAGCTAGCTCGTTCGGGGGCAGAAGGTGATGAACATCCGCCAGCAGGAAACTCCGAACGTTAACTCCCGGCACTGGTGCAAGGAAGTTTCCGCAATCGGGTAATGTTCCGAATTCGCGTGCGTCTAGGAAACTTGACACGCCCGAACAACGAGATAATTGGGAAGGTGCAAAGGCAAGCCCGGAGCGCGGCTCAACTCGCAACAGGATACCTGCTATGAACCTCGCCCTGGTTCAGGATAAACACGTGCAATTCCATTCTTGCATAAGCGTTTCAGATGGGACAACACTCAAGAAAACCTACAGCCGGTTTACCAACCTATATTTTGAGTGGCTCGCTACCCAAACAACTATCTCACCACCTCCGGCCCCGTTTCTCTTCGTTGAAGTCCCCACCTTGCCTCTCCCTCTCTACCCTTGCATCGAAGTCCTTCTGCGCCTCTGTCTTAGCAAGCTGTCTTTCCTCTTCCGTCTCAGAGAAACTGAAGCTGTCACCCAGCGTCGAACCCTCCCTCTGTTCTTGTTGAACACCACGGTTTCCCGCCCAGGCGTTTCCGGTGCTCCCTTTGCTCGGCTGCTGACCCACTGCCGCCTCACGCCGTACTCGCTCCCATGCACTGCCGGCGGGATAGCTCTTACCCGGTGAAGTGGATCCTGCGGTAGGCGAAGCATCATCCGAGTCGAAGTTGCGCGGTTGGGTCGTCACTTTATCCATCCGGAAAGTGTTTTCGCGGTTCTGTGCGGGACTCGTCCTGGCATCAGCTTGTTGTCTCTGTTCCTGGCTACGCATCTGCGCATCCGACATGAGTCCTGTATCTGAGGATGCATCTGGGTAATCGTTGGCGAAGGTGCCGGAAGTTGGAGACATGTCGTCATCATCCTGCCGCTGTCCTCGTGGCCTGTTTTGAAGATCCCTTCGGACCCTCTCCACCTGCTGATCCATCCTCCCTTCCTGCGTGTCTACCGAGGATCTCTGACCCATCGGCGGTCGCAGTGGTGGGGCTCTAGCTCCCTCTTTCATCCTCTGGTTTAGTGCTTGGTTGAAGTCTTTCAATCGCGGATCTGTGGCTTTCCCTGCGGCATTGATGCTAACAGCATAGCTGCTGAAGAATATGCCTCCCAGAATAAAACCGATGAATCCGTACGATTGAAACCGCAAGATGTGCCATATTGCACGTGCCCTTGGGCCCTCTAATGAAAGGACCTTGTTAGGGTTGAAGGCGGTGCCTTCCTTAGCAGTATAGAAAGGAAACCTCCACTTGCTGCGGGTAGCATACGCATAGAGCAAGCCTGCCGAAACGCCAACCGGAGCACCGTAGGACGCGACACGCATGCCACGGGCGAAATGGTATCCCAGAGAGTCCACCTCTTCTTGTCGTAAAGGACGCTGTAGCAGATTCGCGGCGAACTGGCATTGGTCACGGATAGCACGAATTGTTGATTGATTTAGTCCAGGTCCTGCTCCGAGGAATCTGAACGGCTTTGGTAGTTTGTTAACATCCAGGTCGACTTCCTGGGTGTATGGTGCGCCTCCCGGTGTTCGTCCTGATGCGGCGGGCGAAGAAACGCCAGGTGAGGAGGCCGTTGGATATGGAGAATCGGATGCATAAGGGTCGACGTCTGATGAAGGAGCATCTTCGACAAAACCCTCAGCAGAGGCGGTAGCTCCTTCGAGAACCATGGTTGCCAGATATAGCCAGTAAGATGTGGGACCGGTGGTAGGAGATGTGGTCAACCTTGAGAGAGGCGTAGTCTGCTACCACTTCCGCTTCTCGCAGTCGTATATGACGTCTCGATGTGAGCTCGAGGAACGCTGCCGCGGCTGAGCACGAGCCAGTGTGGGGAGAGCTTTAGCTTTCCAAGAGCTGCAGGAACGAGCCGCTGAAGTCATCCCGTGTTTATCGATATCCTTTGCACAACTTTATGCTTTCTTCCTCTCCAACTGCCGCCGACCGCTTTCACGCGCGTTATGTACTTTCCACTTCCAGACATGATGTGACCCTCGTTGTACGGAAGGCCTCAAAGTCACAGGGGACGCCTCCGATGCCAGTCACAGACGTAGATGCTGCCATCGCTGCCATCAGCACCCTTGATCCACTCTCTGACGCGCAGTCAGCCGCACGAGACGCGATATATGCTGTCGAATGCGCAGACGACCCGTTCGTTGACATCCACCATCTCTTTTCATTGTACAACACATTGTACTTCCGCTCTCTGCTGCTTCCACGAGTTGAGGTTTCCTGGTCGGTGCGTCTCACTCTGTGTGCCGGCATTTGTGAGCTCGTGAAAGACGACGCTGGAAAATACACGCGCATACGCCTGAAGCTATCCGAGCCCTTGCTCAGATACAGACCGAGAAGCGATGTGTTAAACACTCTGTTGCATGAAGCGATACACGCGTACTTCTTTATCACTACTTCATGGCGGCACAGTCGTGGGGACGACGGCACGGGTCATGGTGCAGGCTTCTTGCTTCTCGCGGACGCTATAAACAACCATGGAAGATACGATGTCACTGTATATCACACTTTTCACGATGAGGTTGACAGCTATCGCACCCACATATGGCAGTGCGACGGGCCCTGCAGATCGCAAGCACCGTTTTTTGGACTAGTCAAGAGGAGCATGAACCGCGCGCCTGGGAAAAGCGATGCCTGGTGGAAGAAACATGAAGAAGAATGCGGTGGCACGTATACCAAGATTGCAGAACCGGACTTGACAAAAGACCAGATACGCAAGTTAGGAGCTATGGAGCGAGCTGGTAGACAGAAGAACAAAATCGACCAATGGGTCAGCGGAGGCAAGACAGAACGACAAAGCGAGAAAGAAGGAGACGGGCTGTCCGACGTTGTTGGAGCCAGTGGAGCGAAGGCCGGCGGAAAGAAAAGGAGGACTGAAGCAATCGACTCAACTATATCGGACGAAGGACGTGAGGTTCAAGCATCTGCTGTCGCTTGTCCAATCTGCGACGCTCCTATTTTTGAACGATACATCAACGAACATCTGGATGAGGTGCATCCGACATGAACAGCCGATGTCGTCACTACAAAAATTCTACGATTGACGCTCGTTCAAAGACCGGCCCAGACATGCGAAATGAATGACGCAGTCGACAATATCGAACCAAAGCCTCATCCATGCTGTTCCTGACCGCTTAGTGAACGCCGAAGGTATCTCCCGTCAGCGGGCATTCAAAGATGCTCGAATCCACACTCCTCTTTTGCTGCTATCCCGTACATGATCTATTTTCCATGATGCAGCTCAGTGCAAGTCTAGAACTGTTCTGGAAGGACGGTCGAGGTGAGCAAACATTGAAGACCGTGAAACAGACAGTCGAGCATGCAGGCCCTGACGTTCCTCTTTGTTTTCCTTTCTTCTACCTCTACTCAATGTGTATATATCAACACCCGTACAATGCATATACCACAACCATATTGCTATGCGCATCTATGCTGGGAGGTCAACTACGACGGTGAACTGCTCCGACTATACTCTTTGGCTCTGAAAACCGCCACCTACAGAGAATACTAGACGACTACTTAGTTGCGGCGTGCGCCCAGCTGGGACATGTTCGATAAGCGAGACGCAGTGGTGAAGAGGAACAGTTGGAGCAAATCCCGATTCCCGCCTCGAGATCGTCTACACCAGTTCCGCTCTGGCATAGATGCATCACACGCCGTCCACCGTCCCTGCATGCGATATGCTTTTGTGTGACTATATAAGTTTTTTTGACTAAACTTTACTCATAAATTCACTTCTCCGCTTAGCTCAGCTGGAAGTAGCGCATGACTGTAATTGGCTCTTACGAGAGATTTCACGTTATCATGAGGTCGCCTGTTCGATCCAGGCAGCGGAGATGTTCTTTTGCTTTTCCTAGATCCCCTCTTTGCATACCGATTGCAATCTCGAGAGCCTCGTTGTTTTCTACGGTCGCTGCTGTACGGACAGGGAGGGACTGCGTTTCTGTCTTCAGCGGAGCAAGAACGTTTGTTATTACAACCTACTGCTCTCCAACGAGGACATATCTGGTCGTGGAATGACGATTTCTCTTCTTTCGACAACTGACTATCGATTGTTCTGAGCGTTGTATTGCTACGCCTACCATACAACCTAGCCCCAGACTGGGAGCAACAGTTGGTGCCTCTATCTCGACGCCATCCATTGCGCAGATGGTTACTGCCCGTCCTTTGACTGCAAGGGCCAGGACTCACTGCCACAGCGCGTTATACAGTCTATTCACCGACGTCTCATTTACATCTCGTCAACCCTGGTAAAGGCCAAGATGCTAAACTACTCCGGAGCCTTGACCGAAAGCACTCTGGAAATCCTAGGCGACTCACTTTCCTGACAGGTCTGGTCGCTGCTTTGACATCCATCTGAAACGTTCAGCTTCCCTCCTTTTCCTATCCTCACTTGTGCAGAGGATACCGAGGCACCAGGATGGATGGTCGAATTCTCCGAATCGGCACGTATTGCCAGCTTTCACAGTATTCACGGAATATTCCTCGACGATTGCTCGCTTGTTGCATGCTCCGACAACACTACTACTAAATCCGGAAACTACGGACTCAGGGCAGATCGGAGTATGCCTGTCATCTTGTTTGGTTCCTGTGTTTCGGGTCCACACAAGGCCGGTGGAGGCCAATATTAGCACCAATAGGGAATTTCGCGAAGCTGCGAAACATGCCAAGCCCCAGCTATCCAATCTGTCATTCAGCCACAGGACGATTCTAGCGGTTCCTACGGGGCACAAGGTTCTATCCGCCCCTTCTGATAGATATTCACGTATGTGGAGTGCACGACCATAAATTAGTAATGTGGAGTAGCTCCTGCTCTATACCACATGCCCCTCGCCTGTGAACACAAGATACCGGCGCACATGGTCGGTCTGGCTCACGGAACAATATCCATCGTGAAACAAGGCCTGGATATCGCCGTCGGAGAAGCACCTTGCCTGGACACTGTCTATATAGTCGATACTCCTCTCCCACAATGTCTCGATTCCTTGTCGGTTCTGCACGTTCGTCTATTTCCCATTCTCCTTCGGTCCTCTGGAAGGATCTAGTCTCCTGTTCCTGTCCTTCATTAACATCATAAACATGCGTCTTTCCTCGGTCGTCTGCGCTGTTGCAGGCTTCGCAGCCACTGCTTGGGCATATGCCAATCCATTGAGCTGCTCTGGGACTTGCACCAACACTCACGATCCCTCCATCATCCGCCGCGCCTCTGACGGCACGTACTACCGCTTTGCTACCGGTGGTGGCATCGCAATTCACACTGCATCTTCCTTGTTCGGACCATGGACGTACAAGGGCTACGCTCTTCCCAGCGGATCCAAGGTCGACAACTCCGGCAGCGATGATCTTTGGGTATGGCGACCTCACATCAGTCGCGAATATGCATAGCTAACGGCTGCCAGGCACCCGACGTGCACCAGGTCGGCAGCACCTACTACATGTACTACAGCGCCTCTTCATTCGGCACCCAGAACTCCGTCATCGGCCTTGCGACCTCCACAACCATGGACGTAGGTTCTTGGACCGACCACGGTAGCATCGGTATCACCTCCGACAGCGGCAAGAGCTACAATGCCATCGACGGAAACCTCGTCCAGGTCGGCAGCAGCTACTACATGAACTTCGGCTCCTTCTGGCATGACATCTACCAAGCTCCTATGAAGTCCACTCCGACCGCCGTCTCGGGATCCAGCATCAATCTCGCATACGACCCAAGCGGCAGCCACGCCGTCGAGGGCTCGTACATGGTCTACCGCGACAACTACTACTACCTCTTCTTCTCGGCCGGTATTTGCTGCGGCTACGACAAATCCCGCCCGGCCGCTGGCCAAGAGTACAAGATCAAGGTCTGCCGTTCTACGAGCGCGACCGGCGGATTCGTCGACCAGAGCGGCAAGAGCTGCACCAACGGCGGTGGTACCATTGTTCTGGAGTCTCATGGCAACATCTACGGTCCTGGTGGTCAGGGCGTTTACAACGACCCCAAGAACGGCTGGGTGCTCTACTACCACTACGTCGACACCACCATCGGATATGCGGATGGCGACAAGAGACTCGGTATCAATAAGATCTCCTGGTCCGGAGGCTGGCCAACTGTTTAGGGAGGGAGGTGTATGCGAAGGATGGAGCGACGGCTTGGAGTGGGGAATTGCATGCTTTCGTATCGCTTTTATTGGTGTACATACAATACGTCTTCAATCCACATCTTTGTTATCTCATCATGTGTCCATGATAGGGATGTTTGGCGTACTGATGGTTTGGATACACGTGACGATTTCGAGTGGTGATAGAGTGAAAGCGAAGCGCGTGACACGCGACTTTCGCGTACGCGGCTACCTGGTCTAACGTTCGTCACTGTCGCTGCTTCTGTTCCCATTTGCCAAGTCACACCACCCGCCAGCCTCTCCTTAGCAAGACCAAAGGGAAAAAACAAATACACTCGTTCTCGCATGAAATGGAGACGTCCGCTACTAACAACGACACATCTGACCCCACAGACTGGCTGCCAACTCCTCTGTCAGCATTTGCGCCGCTGGAGACTGCCCTGCGATGTGGGGTCTGTAAAGAGTTCTACGACACGCCCATGATCACCTCCTGTTCGCATACATTCTGCTCGCTCTGTATACGCCGATGTCTCTCGAGTGAAGGAAAGTGTCCTACGTGTCGCGCCAACGAACAAGCGAGCAAGTTGCGCAGGAATTGGGCCGTCGAAGAAGTGGTCGCCAACTTCAAGCTTGCGAGACCGACTGCGCTTGCAATTGCTCAGGCCGGGCGAAGGGAAGACGAAGACGAAGAAGTCCCGAAGAGGCCGGGGAAGCGGAGGAGGATAGAGAAGGAGACGGCACGGGAGACGAGGAGCACGAGGACGACGAGAAGTCAGAGCAAGAGGATGGCATCAAGTCAGGAGGAGCAGGCGCCTATTGAGGTCGACAGCGATGGCACGGAAGAATACCGGGAAGAGTCCGAGGATGGGCTCGTTCAGTGTCCAATCTGCCAGCAACGCATGAAGGTGGAGAAGGTGGATCCGCATATCCAGCGCGGGTGTCCTGACGAGAAGGAAGAACAGAACAAGCGGCAGTCAAAGTAAGGTCCGTTCGAACATCGCCTCGCATGTTTGCTTATTCTCTATAGTAAACCGCCCAATCCGTTGCAACAACCACCTTCACGCACACCATCTCAGCCTCCGGAGCGGCTCGCTGAGCTCAACTACTCTTTGATGAAGGACAGCGCTTTGAAGAAGAAGTTACAGGAATTGGGGATACCTACATGGGGTTCACGACAGCTTCTTGTCAGAAGACACACAGAATGGGTCAACCTCTGGAATTCTAACTGCGACTCTAATCGGCCTAAATCCAAGCGAGAGTGCTGCGCGAACTGGACACATGGGAAAATTCACAGGGCGGAAACGCCAGAGAGGGTCGTGGCACGAGCAATAACGTCATGAACAAGGACTTTGACGCCACGGGCTGGGCAGCGAGCAACAACGACCACTTCAGCCGACTGATCGCAGAGGCCAGGAAGAAGAGGAGTGTTGCGCGTGCGCCGGAAGCAGAAAAGCCTGCTGCACCAGAAGCGGAAACACCTACTGTGAACGGCTCGACAGAGGAATCACAGACCGCGAAGGAAGAGCACCCCGAGACGGACAAACCCGCCTCGAATCCCTACGAAAACAACCCCGAAGCGCTCTCCTCGATCCGCGAGAAAGTCTCCGCAGCGAACCGCGGCGAGCACATCGAACCTCAGATCAACCAAAACTTTCGGCCGCAACCCCGTGGACAGACAGGCGACATCAAGTACCAGGGCATCTCCTCGTCCGCCGCGGTGCCCGCCGCGCAAGCTGTTCCACAAGACCGAGCAAAGGACGGTGACATTCAGATGGAGGACGGCAAAGGCGGTGGCGCCGTGCGACACAGTGACAAGCAACACTACCGCGACGGCTCGCCCTGCGATCTGCCCAACCATTTCCGTAGCCCGACGAAGCAGGTGCCCATGTTTCAGGTCCCGGAGGGACCGCTTGTGGATATCGATGGTGCGAATGAGCGCTAACTGATGCCTGCCTGGATGGATGGGATGGATGGATGGATGTGGAAGACTATTTACGCTTCTGAGATACTCCTGATTGTTTCTCCGTCACCGGTTGCTCGTTGATGCTGGCAATGGTGGTGGACGTCCTATTCATCCGACGCTCTCTGTGACTGTAGGAGCGTTTGACAGATATCTCTGTACGAGCTGGCTAGGCGTAGCAAGAGTGGTGGTTTCACGACACACTCGGCTTCCGTTTTCGGGTGCTGAAGGATTTCCGCGATCATAGCATGAAGACACATGATCGCTACTTGTGCGTGATCAGGCCAATACTCTCCGGGCCTCTCAGATCTACGACTTGCATGGAACATGAACTCGGCAGGAGAAGACAAATCCGTGTCGAGGAGCCTGCTTGTTTCGAGTGACCTGGGCTGAGAACCATCATGGGTTGTATGTACCACATGAAGAGTTGGGAGCGCTCATGGCAGTCTGCAGCTGCAGTACACAGACCCAGATCCGTCTAATGACCGTCGCGAGGTTTGGTATATGGATTCGATGCAGCACACTCGCAGACACGGTGCACGTCATCTTTGTAGAAGAACACGTGGGGGTAAATGTCCTTTAGCAATTCATTTACACGATGCATCAATGAACACTACACAACAATTGGAAAACGAGGTGTTGCAAAGCCCCTCCGGGAAGAACCAGACCGTCTACCGTCTCTCGTGGGCTCCATGGTCGAGTGGATCGACAGCATCGGAATTGCTCGTGCGACGCTCGAACGTCAGCCGTGGCCCCAGTCCCGATTGCAATCCGGG